CGGGTACGCGTGGGGTATTGGCTATAGCCACATTAACTATACAACTACCCAAGCTGGCAGCTCGGGGCCCAGGGGATACGGGTACGCGTGGGGTATTGGCTATAGCCACATTAACTATACAGCTACCCAAGCTGGCAGCTTGAGGCCCAGGGGATACGGTTACACGTGGGGTATTGGCTATAGCCACATTAACTATACAGCTACCCAAGGCGGCAGCTTGAGGCCCAGGGGATACGGTTACACGTGGGGTATTGGCTATAGCCACATTAACTATACAGCTACCCAAGGCGGCAGCTCGGGGGCCCAGGGGATACGGGTACACGTGGGGTATTGGCTATAGCCACATTAACTATACAGCTACCCAAGGCGGCAGCTCGGGGCCCAGGGGATACGGGTACACGTGGGGTATTGGCTATAGCCACATTAACTATACATACAGCCCTACACCTATAGGCAAGCAGCTCGGGGCCCAGGGGATATGGGTACACGTGGGGTATTGGCTATAGCCACATTAACTATACAGCTACCCAAGGCGGCAGCTCTGGTCCAAGGGGATATGGGTACGCGTGGAGTATTGGCTATAGCCACATTAACTATACAGCTACCCAAGCTGGCAGCTTGAGGCCCAGGGGATACGGGTACACGTGGGGTATTGGCTATAGCCACATTAACTATACAGCATTCGGACCGTAGCGAATTGCACATGTCTATAGGAGAGAACTGGAACCTTTATTTCAACAGTATAGGAGGGTACCGGAGACAGAAGTATCAGTCATTCTTAGGGATAGGGATGGTAAGTATTAGTTAATTTTGCTGAAAGACCAATTTAGGTCTTTCAGACTTTTAGTAGATAGCTCCCTGATACCGTGGGAATTAGGGAGTTATCTACTTATTCATTCCTGTCATTCCATTGATTTGAATTCGGGCAATTCGGACATTCGGGTACTTCCGATTGTCCGAATAGATGAATTGTCAAATTGTCGAAGTCCCGAAGTTGCGAAATTACCGAATTGCCGAAGTGCCGAAGTTCCGAAGCACAGTATTGCCCAAGAACTAATATACTTACCCAGTGGAAGAATGAAGAATGTTACACTGTATACAATTTTAAATTAAAAAAAAGTGTACAAACATAGCCAGGATTCAGCTGTAAGCATTTGCAACACTTACAACAATCAAGTAACATTCATTCATATAAAATGTAAGTTACTTAGCCAGTCAGTGTAATGACAGGAATGAATAAGTAGATAACTCCCTAATTCCCACGGTATCAGGGAGCTATCTACTAAAAGGATGAAAGACCTAAATTGGTCTTTCAGCCAAATTTACTAATACTAAGTAAATATTACTTAGTATTAGTAAATTATGCCCCTACTCGCTATACCGCCTGCAAAGCCTTGCCCCGTCCTGCAATTAGGCTCAGAGCACTCTGATTGGTGGGTTTAAGCCATCCAATCAGAGTGCTCTGACAGGTAAATTAAGAGACTGACAGGTAAGTCAGCTTGAAATTCACCAATCAGAGTGCTCTGTGTCATTTTACACAGCGTGAGAAATTTCTTTGGAATTTTCCCTCGCTGTGTAATTTGACTCATAACTCACACTGTGTAATTTGTTATGAGTCAAATTACACAGTGTGGGAAAATGTTTATTTAGGTCCCCCCCCCTTATTAGTATTTAGGGCCCCCACCCACCGTTAAGGGGTGGGGGCCAAAGGGGAGGACAATAGGTCCCCCCATTATTTTACTTTAGGTCTCCCACCCGCCGCTCAGGGGTGGGGGCCAGGGGGGAGGACATTAGGTCCCCCCCCTTATTCTAATTTAGGGCCCCCACCCACCGCTCAGGGGTGGGGGCCAGGGGGGAGGACATTAGGTCCCCCCCTAATTGGTATTTAGGGCCCACACCAACCGCTCAGGGTTGGGGGCCAGGGGGGAGGACATTATTATAATTTAGGGCCCCCACCCACCGCTCAGGGGTGGGGGCCAGGGTGGCAATAGGTCCCCCCTTTAGTTTAAAAGCCCCCACTCACGCGTCGCGGGTGGGGGCTCGGGAGGGGGGACACAGGCTACTCACTGTTTAATAGAAATGCCCCTACTCGCAGTATAGCGAGTAGGTGCAAAATTTACTAATACTAAGTAATTTTTACTTAGTATTAGTAAATTTGTCTGAAAGACCAAACCTAGCCACTTTAAGGCTTACTGAATAACATCAGATGGTTGTCTGCTTTTATTGTATGTAAAGATATATTCACGTGTTTTTGCAATAAAGAGTAATCGTATGTTAATGGCCAAAAGCCGCTAGCATTCATATGGTAGTTTCACGAACAGTGACTTTAGACACTGTTCGTGAAACGGATAAGGTACCGAATGGGAGCCCACACACAGAGGGTTGTGTGGCTCCCATTAACCGATTGCAACATTGTAGAAATCGATAGTTAAGTGCTTTCCTGGGTGTCCGTCGTTCGGCTACCGACCACGCGGCGGTCGGCCATCTTGGATCCTTTGTTAGCCCAGCGGTGTTTGGTCGTCGAGCACCTGGAACTAAAATCGGCAACTCGATGGCGCAAACACCGCTGGACTTCCAGGCCGTTCGGGAGCACCGGTCCTTCTGTATTTTGTTCCCTAATATGTATTCGGTACTTTTAATAAGAATGTAAAATAAAGAATATTTTGTGCGGCGTTCGGTTATTTATGCTGGGATCTGAGCGGTACTTTCACGAAGTGTGCGCTCAGACCCCAGCTATCTACCGAACAGTCATTTAAGGGAATCACATGAATAATATTAAAGTTATGGATTTTTGTGTTAAAACCCGGTTCTGCTGCACGGAGGGATAATCCACTTAACAGGATATTCTAGTGAGAGTATCCCTCACGTACAGCAGTGCATGGTGGGAGAAATGTCCTGCATGTTCAGTTCCCCATGTAGTCCTCTACTCAGGGGTCAAGTCCTGTGGAAAAAAGTGTGGGAACTCACCTAAGATTCCCGCCTCCCCCCCCCTTAAAAAAAAATTACATTCCTATGCATATAGTGCAGTGCAGGGTGTGTATAATGAATGTAGTGTGTTTGTAGTGAATGCAGAGTGTGTATAATGAATGTAGTGTGTTTGTAGTGAGTGCAGTGTGTATAATGAATGTAGTGTATTTGTAGTGAGTGCAGAGTGTGTATAATGAATGCAGTGTGTTTTTAGTGAGTGCAGTGTGTATAATGAATGTAGTGTATTTGTAGTGAGTGCAGTGTGTATAATAAATGTAGTGTGTTTGTAGTGAGTGCAGTGTGTATAGCGAATGCCCCGTGCTAAGTGCCTACCACGCGAATGAATGTAGTGTGTTTGTGCGTGCAGTGTGTATATGAATGCATGTGCTTTGAGTGTGTGTCACTGTGAGTGCTGGATGATGTACCTGAATGAAGTGCAGTGTGTGAGTGCTGTAGTGAGTGCCTGGTAAAATCGGCAACTCGATGGCGCAAACACCGCTGGACTTCCAGGCCGTTCGGGAGCACCGGTCCTTCTGTATTTTGTTCCCTAATATGTATTCGGTACTTTTAATAAGAATGTAAAATAAAGAATATTTTGTGCGGCGTTCGGTTATTTATGCTGGGATCTGAGCGGTACTTTCACGAAGTGTGCGCTCAGACCCCAGCTATCTACCGAACAGTCATTTAAGGGAATCACATGAATAATATTAAAGTTATGGATTTTTGTGTTAAAACCCGGTTCTGCTGCACGGAGGGATAATCCACTTAACAGGATATTCTAGTGAGAGTATCCCTCACGTACAGCAGTGCATGGTGGGAGAAATGTCCTGCATGTTCAGTTCCCCATGTAGTCCTCTACTCAGGGGTCAAGTCCTGTGGAAAAAAGTGTGGGAACTCACCTAAGATTCCCGGTAGTGAGTGCAGTGAATGTAGTGTAGTGAATAATAAATGTAGTGTGTTTGTAGTGAGTGCAGTGTGTAGTGTGTTTGAATGCAGTGTGTAGTGAGTGAGAGTGTGTATATGTTTTTGTAGTGAGTGCAGTGCGTGTGTTATATGATGTGTGTGTGCAGAGTGTGTATAGTGAATGTAGTGTGTTTGTAGTGAGTGCAGAGTGTGTATAATGAATGTAGTGTGTTTGTAGTAAGTGCAAATTGTGTATAATGAATTTAGTGTGTTTGTAGTGAGTGCAGAGTGTGTACAATGAATGAAGTATGTAGTGTGTTTGTAGTGAGTGCAGAGTGTGTACAATGAATGCAGTGTATGTAGTGTGTTTGTAGTGAATGCAGAGTGTGTATAGTGAATGTAGTGTGTAGTGAGTGCAGAATGTGTATAATGAATGCAGAGGGTGTATAGTGAATGTAGTATGTTTGTAGTGAGTGTATAGTTAATGTAGTGTGTTTGTAGTGAGTGAAGAGTGTGTATAATGAATGCAGTATGTGCGTGTGTTGGATGATGTGTGTGTGCGCACTGGATGATGTGTGTGTGAGTGCTGGATGATGTGTGCGTGTGTGAGTGCTGAATGATGTGTGCGTGTGTGAGTGCTAAATGATGTGTGCGTGTGTGAGTGCTGAATGATGTGTGCGTGTGTGAGTGCTGTGAGTGCTGATGTGTGCGTGTGTGAGTGCTGGAGAGTGTGTGTGTGTGAGTGCTGAATGATGTGTGCGTGTGTGAGTGCTGGATAGTGTGTGTGTGCTGGATGATGTGTGTGTGTGTGAGTGCTGGATAGTGTGTGTGTGAGTGCTGGATGATGGGTGTGTGAGTGCTGGATGATGGGTGTGTGAGTGCTGGATGATGTGTGTGTGAGTGCTGGATGATGTGTGTGAGAGTACTGGATGATGGGTGTGTGAGTACTGGATGATGGGTGTGTGAGTACTGGATGATGGGTGTGTGAGTACTGGATGATGGGTGTGTGTGTGTGGGTGTGTGTTT